CATAAACAATTCACGCAACATTCTGGTGACAGTGTTTCTTCACAGTCTAAGGTGTTCAGTGAGGTATTGTAAGTAATGAACAATTCTGTGTTCCTACATCTGATGGATTTGGATTTTTACATCTGATGGATGTACAATGGCTAACAATTAAGACTCTTCCCCGACATAGGATAATCAAATACTCTAGATGGCATTTATGTTATGAGAACCATCTCACTTTTTTCTGCAGGCTGTCATTGTTTGCCTGAGAAAGTCCAGTCCAGAAGCTTAGATTGTCTGTTCTCTTGCATGTCAGTCTGTTACAGGATGGCACTGAAGTGGTACAATGGCACTGGAGATCACTGTGGTCTTTAGAAGACACCAGCGTCAGTCAGGAAAGTGTTGGCCTCCAGTAGCAGACACTTCATGTATACACGACAGGTGTAGAAGAGTGTTACAAAGTCCTGTGTGCTGAACACCGTGTCTGCTAGCGCAAAACTCAGTGTGGATGGAATGAATCCTCTGCCGTATTCCACCATCCAGGTCCCTGCAGTCCATTGCACCGAGGTCGCCTCGCCCACTGAATGCACGATTGTGTCACCTGTCAAAGCCGAATCCAATCACACAACACGGTGACACACAGAACTGTTTAAGATTGCTTCCTCAAAATTTGCATTATGAGAATACTTACCACGAGTTAAAGGGATACTGCAGTGTTTTTTTTTTTTTTTCACCTAATTTCTATTTACTGCTCTGTGAAATTAGGTGAGATTACCACAAACATGAATTTTGGCAGATTTCATTCTACTGTACTGAGAAACCTGTTTACTTGAAACTTACTTATAATTGAATTCTAAGGGCAGTTGTTGAATTCTGTCAATACATGTTTATAATACATGACAGAATGTTTGACCAAACCAAATTTACCAAATTGGTAACACTATCAATTGTTTGCGTTTTGCTGAATGTTTAGTGGCATTGTTGTTTCGGCAGGTCAAAAACGTGAGGCACGTGCATGCTTATTTTCAGCGATCTTGGTAAAGCAAAACCACAGATTCTCTGCTCTGAAAAATCTTTGAAAGTATGAATCATACAGATTTCATACTTAATTAACAAACACCTCTGACTAAAGAATTCACTAACGTGTGAAACACTACCTGTTTACCATACATGTTTACTGACAGTCCCAACAACTTCTTATAAGTAAGTTTTGAGTAAAGTGCTTTTCTGTTCTTTTCTCTGTGTAGGGAAACATGTTGAACGTCTTGTACACTACAGTTGCGGTAAATAAAGATTAGGCTGAATATGCTGGATTATTCCTTTAAAAGATGTTGACAAATGGACACTATGAATATTTCTAATGATTTTCATACCTGGGTAGTAAGTCTCACTTTTAGTTGATCCTTCTTTCCATTGCCTGAAAGTCCCAGAAATTACGGTGTCTGATATCTCAGCCCAGTATCGACCTGAGGGGGATAAGGGATGATCTTTTAGAGTAGATCAGCACATCCTATAAGCTAAGACTGTATACAGATGATGAGCAGCAAAACTGTTTTGCTTCAGTAAAGGTTTTGCGTTACTATGGAGAAGGTGTTGTACAATGTGGATTTTATGCCAATGTGCTCAAAAAGGTTAATCAAACCCCACCCTGACCTTTCAAAGGGCAACCAATGAGATAACCCGCTGTATATGACACAACAAGAAGCAACTTGCTTTGTACCAGTGGAATGGAGGAGAGAGACTGAAGTTAAGGATGACTGCCTGCTCTAGGTCATGGGCACAAATGATTGAATTCATCTTATGTCAATCTACGTAACTAAGCGTACTCACCTGAGTGTCCACTTGTGTCAACGGCGGTCCCGAAGAGCAGCACGTACTCGGTGAGGGAGGCGTGGAGCAAACACATGGAGCCCATCCAACCCCCGGCATTTACGAACACCCACTGCAGGTCCTCGTCAGGCAGGATGTGGCCCGGGTAGCGTTTCCGCAACTCCACCACTACTTTAGAGAATGCCTGCTCATGATCCTGACCTACAGGATCACACACACACACACACACACACACACACACACACACACACACACAGGAAGAGCAAGAGAAATAGAGGTTAGACAGATCTGGGATTTACATTCTGGGAATGTTTTCATAGAAGTCAAACCTGGCAACACAGAAAGTAATGTATTAATATAGTATCAGTTTTCAGCATATATGCTTAAAAAAGTAGTCAATAACCCTTTCTGGTCGAAATTTATATAGCTCACTATGACTGACTTTCAGTTGCTCAATTAACACTTTGTTAATTAAATATGCATCATTTTCATAGGGGGAAGCACAATGACACAGTGGGTAGCATTCCTCTGGGTTCTCTGGTTTCCTCCCGCCTCTGAAAAACATTGGGTGGATTGGCTATGACGAATTGTCCATATGTCTGAATGTGTGTGTGTGTGCGCGTGGTGCGCTTTCATGGACTGGCATCCCGTTCAAGGTGTGTTCCCGCTTCATGTCCAGTGTTCCCGGGATAGGCTCCGGACCCACTTCTTCCCTTTACCGGGATAAAGCGGTTACTAGAGACGAATGAGTGAATGAATGAATTATTCGCATAGGAATAATTAACAGACCTCTCAGAGATCTGACTTGAGGTCAGAACTGGAGTAGCCACGCCTCTGCATTCAATCTGATCTCATATTGATCTGTCATGTAAGTGGTGATCAGAGCAGCCAGTCTGTCAAGTGACCTTTAATCTCAGACCTTTAATATCAGGCTAGAGATCAAATGGCCATCTCTGATAACCAGAAATATAATTTTAGCTAAGACACTGAATACCAAGCTGAGTATAGAAACACATGGCACATAGCTAGATGCATCTGACATGCTTCAGAGTTAATCAGCTGGCTGCATCTGCATGCATTTCAGGATCACTACAGCATTTCACTTGTTATTCAGTCATTTCTATCTGAACTCACCTGCGTACTGTTTGGCCAGTTTGGCGACGTCTTCTTTTGTAAACACATACTGTTTACTGGCTAACCAGTAATGTAAGTACTGTATGACTAACACCACCACTCCGACAAACACCACGAGTTTCAGCAATTTTCTAGTTACAAACATTACGTCGAAACCAATTACCTGCAATGCAACATTAAAAAAAAAAAAAACCTACACAAAATATCAAAACCTAACAACTAAAAAAACACCTGACACACTTTCATTCAAACTCCTTCAGACACCTCTGCTAGCTAACAGGCTAGCATGGCAAACCAGTGAACTCGGTGACCATGACGTGCATGAGCTTATCAATTTCGACCAATCAAAAGTCACCTTAAGGAGCTCTCAACCAATGAAATGAAAGATCTGTACTAGGACGAGCGATGCAACAGTGCAATTCTGAACATCAACACGGCGCTTGAATGCGCATTTAAATAGATATTTATATTTATTCTGTGTAGCTTAAGCAAGGAGTTAAATGATAAAAACGAGAAGCAACATACTTTAAATTAATTTTAGGCGAAATGCTTATTTGAAATTATTTAATATAGTATTATTGAAGTAAAATCCAGTGAAAATTATTCTTAGTATTGCGCAAACCCATATGCGCTCACTCATGTGTAAAGAAAAGAAACTTGCCTCCTACTTCCTGATGTTTTGAATGATGACGGACATTCAAAGTATTGGTATTAATGTGTATGGACAGTGGGGTAATAACTCTGTATTTTTAGCTCGTTTTTAGTCTATAGGTTGCCATGGACGCCACGAAGACTGCAAGCAAAATCCAGTTTGATCCCAGAGGTAATTATTATGTTCACATGCACGACCCATGTTTTTTTCCCCCTTATTCTCTTCACACTTGTGCAGTTTGCATGGATAGTCATTATTCTCCTTTTAACTGTCATTCTTTTTAGCAGCACACAAACATTCTTAATATGGAAATACACACACACACACACACACACACACACACACACACACTGTTGACATGTCATCTCGTGACAAGTCACGTGAATAAACTTCTGCATTCGGACTAAATCTGGATTTTAACTGATAATATTCTCACTATTATACTATCAATAATCCAAATTGCCTATTTTCCCCAACAGTCTAAATGACCCTTTTGCACCAAAAACCTTTTCTCACCAAAAACTTTTATGATGCCAGTACATTACATTGCCTAGAATTCACCAGGTCTACCATTCAAATAGGTTTATGTCTTGGCAACTTTTAGACCATGTAGAATAGAAATATTCAATCTTTCCTGACAACTTTCCTTCTTTGACATTTTACACCAGCCCAGAACCAGATCAGATCAGATCAGATTAGCCTTTATTGTCTCTCTTAAGAGAACTTTGCCTTGGCCAATCGAGAGCGCTCAGCTGACATTACAATACGCGTATACAATCAAACTACCTTGATATGCAATTATACAGTGTTTATACTGTATAATTATATAGTGTTTATACTGAAGACTCTTATTGTTAGGAGTGGCTGGCATTGTGGACTTGGGATGAAATGCTCTCATGCCCCCACATGCGACAAAACATGATGGAGTGCCCTACAGGGTTTGCACATGTTTGAAGAAACATGATGAATTGCCTTAATGACAGTCCAGTGGAAAAATACAAGATGCAATGCAACCAATATAGGTTCCTCTCCATGCAAGGAAATGAGAAGTGCCCCCTCTAGGTGCCTTTGTACTAGACATGACTCTAGGTGCTGCTGTGTTCAAGAAAATGTGTCCTCTAGGGTGCCTGTGTAATAGGCATGAGTTAATGCCCTGTAGGTTCCCCTGTTTTCTCCCCACTATGTGCAGAACAGGAGACACTTGAATATTGACAGATGTTTGTTGTTGTTCCTGTTTCGGCTGCTCCCGTTAGGGGTCACTACAGCAGATCATTGGTCCACCTATTTGATTTAGCACAGTTTTTACGCTGGATGCCCTTCCTGACTCAACCCTCCCCAATTTTATCCAGGCTTGGGACCAGCACTGGGATTGCACTGTGCACGCAACCTCAGTGGCTGGGATCAGTTCCCTGGCTAGGAATCGAACCCGGGCCGAAGCTTTGAGAGCACTGTGTCCTAACCACTAGTCCTCCAGGGACCTCGAATATTAACAAATGTTTAAGGTGGATTATTTTGAATTTTTGTGTTACCAGGGACAACAGCACCACCAGTAGTCACAATAAAAACACTCCGAATGGTATGAAGAAGTGAGAAGCGAGGCTGGGGCTGATTCCTTTCTAGCCCAGACTGTAGATTCACTCAGCCAGTCAATGACAGTCCTGTCAGGTTATTACACAGAGTGAACCCCCCCTAGATTTGATCTGTATTTGAGCTTATATTTAGTACGTCATGAGCAGTGATTGAGAAGGCGCATGTGAAATGCAGTCGTGTGTGTAATGAAGTTGAATGAGGTGCATTATTTACTCTATCATCCTGTTTTTCCTCCAAAATGCCCCAGAAAGTAGATATAGTAAGCACACATTGTCCAATGAAAGTACAAATTACACAGAATGACGTATGACTGAATCGTAAGTTTAGTGTTTGAGCAAAAGGGTTCCAAATTTCTGATTACCGTGTTTGGTATTCGGATTAAACGTGTCATGAACCCAATAGAGCATTATGGTCTTGTAATGCTTAAAATATTAGACAACATGAATACATCTGCCTATTTTCCTTTAAATGTGTGTGTATAATCATTTTGCCCATCATCATTCTTATCGTGCCCTTGATGAGACCTTGTGATGTAATGCGTTGCTCAGCCCTAATAGTTTCATAGATAACCTATCAGCTGTCACTGGTTGTTACTCTGTTTCCAGTTTCACAAGCTTTTATGACTTGTTGTCTCAGAGCACCAGCATCTGAGGTACAACCCGTTGCGTGATTCCTGGGTTCTGGTCTCGCCCCATCGGATGAAACGGCCATGGAAAGGGCAGGTGGAGAACGTGCCGGAGGACAGCGTTCCTCGTCATGACCCCAACAACCCCCTTTGTCCTGGGAGCACCAGACCCATCGGGGAGGTGAGACATTATTCATCTACACAGATACACTTCAGTGTGGCATAAAAATGCTACAAGAGGTGACTGAAGCATTTACTTTATACCTGATACAGTCAACATCGGTATACAATTTCTCCCCTGAGCTTTGCCACATTTTGTAGTGTTACAACCTGGAACTGAAATAATAGTGTTACAACCTGGAACTGACTTAAATAGGATTATATATCATGAATCTACACAAAATAGACCATTGAAACCGAACAGTTTGTGTTCTGAACAGAGCTTGTGCCCGCAGTATCCTCACATTCCTGTTTTTGGCTGACAGAAGAACTGCTTTTCTGCTCACCACAGTTGTAAAGAGTGGTTATTTGAGTTACTGTAACTTTCTTCTCATCTTCTCCAGAACTGCCACTCAGTAGATGCTTTTTTGTTTTTCACACTATTCTATGCATTCTCTAGAGACTACTGTGTTTGAAAATTAAAGGAGATCAGGACGTCTGGCACCAACAACCATATCACAGTCAATGTCACTGAGATCATATTTTCCCCCATTCTGATATTTGGTGTGAGCTTTAACTGAAGCTCTGGACTTGTATCTGTATGATTTTTATGCATTGCACTGCTGCCACATAATTGGCTGATTGAATAATTGCATGAGCAGATCAACAGGTGTTCATATTAAAGTGGCCAGTGAGTATAATTTGCAAAATTATTTACAGATAAAAAAAAACCCCGTAAAGGATATAAGTGCAAGATATAAGACTTCTATGAGCTTATATTCACCCCAGTTGCTGTGAAACCCCTAAACTAGTTCTGGTGCAACCAGTGGACGTCATATATTTTGAAATATTTAACAACATATTCACTTACACAAAATTTAAATGTTTTTAGAGACAAACCCACTTACCCCCTGTAATTATGCCATGGACCACAAGGGGTCAGCAGAGCTCTAGTTGAGAAACTGATTTACGCTGCCTTGTGTATTATATTTTGACATGTTATTACAGGCGATATTCTTGTTATCTTGCTTGTCTACTTACAAGAGCTGAAAACACACACACACACACACACACATATCAAGGTTACGTCTCGGAGGGTGTTATGTTGTTCTGTTCTTGTCACATTCTCATGCACTGTAGCTTATAAATAATTACATTGTGCATGATGAAATTGATTAGATAACGGCAACAGTGCTTGTGAAATGTAAATACAGACTTGACCTAAACTGCTAATTACACTGGTTGTCATGGTTACGTCCCACCATGGTTATAAAGGCACATTTATGGACTCTATAGACTCTAATTATTTATGGGGTCTAACATTTGTAGTAAGTGGGAAACCTGGGAACGCTGGGTGTGAGGCGGGAATACCCCTCGGATCAGATGCATAAGGAAATACGTGTTTGGAAGGTTATGGTGCCCTGCATACATTTTTGGTTAAGGCACTAAAGACTGTGCTTCAGTTGCTGTTGCTTTACATGCAGCACACACATTTACAAAGTGCTTCATATTCGATATTTCATATCAAAGTGCAAGAAATGCAGATCATTATATCCAGATTCAGCTTTTTCTCTTCATTGTCTTCTGTATCTGTGTCGCTTTGTGAAAACGTTTGCTGCTTGAGCGGTTTTCAGTGTCTTCTTATGAAGGTTTAGCCGTGAGCATTGTGGGTACTTTTATTGAAGCGTTAAAAAAAAAAAATCCAGCTTGCTGAGGAAACCGATGTCTTTGCATTCATTACAAAATGTCCTCTAAGCAAGGAAATAATGATTTCTCTTTTCCTTTCTTTACTCTCTTCACTTGTCCTTGTACAGTTATGAATCATTTCGACATTTTTTTTTTTAAAAATGGTTTTAATATTTAGATGTTCTTGGCTGACTTTTCTCACATCTCACATGCACGTTATTTAATTATTTAATAGTAACGTATGGGTGAAATATTTTTGGTGATCATTTGCAATTCATTAAACTTGACGTTAAACTTAAAATACAGACACAATCTACATAATGTTTACTGATCTTTTTAAAAATTTATTTATTTATTTATTTATTTTTTTAAACCATTCCATTTAGGTGAATCCTGATTATGACAGCACTTTCCTGTTTGATAATGATTTCCCTGCACTGCAGCAGGATGCTCCAGATCCCGGTAAAGTATTTGCTGTTTTAGATACACGATCAAGGTTATTACAGGTGAGCTATAGGACATGACAGACAATCAGCACGTAATTAGGGCTGGGCGATAATGATGATATTATATTGATATTGCGATTAATTATCACGTGCCAATTCCCACCCACCCACAGGTTCTCCCCTATTATATGACAGCTGGGGATGGTTAAAAGTAACATGTGCTTCCTCTAAGACATGTGAAGCCATCCAACAGCATCTTTTCAAACTGCTGCTCGTGCTGCATCATGGGGCAGCGTAACACACTCGGAGGAAAGCCCTGTCTGCCCTCTTCCGCATACATGAGCTCACGGACATCCTCAGCATGTCTTGAAGTGTTTTATTCCACTTATACCACAGCGATTTGCTAACACTAACAATTTCTATTTATTAAACAATGAAACGTTTTATAAATCAGTTTATGTGGAACGTCCGCAATAAGTCCCTGGGCTAATTGGTACGATAGAAACAATAGTAATTGTTAACATGCAGCACGTTACCACGGTATCAGGTGAAGTCCAAATGATGGCTTTTATATATTATGACAGGCAGTGTAGCATGTACTGTATGTTCAGCAGTAGAATCACTCTATCATTTTAGTAGCATCGCATTATATGGCCACTTTGACTGGCTTTTAATGGCTTTACTCTGACTTGTTCATGTTGTGTATACTTCACTTCTGTATAGAAACAGAATTTCTAAGTGAACGTCATCTGTGTGTGTTATACAGGTTCAGATCATCATCCTTTGTTCCAGTCCAAACCTGCAAGAGGTGCTTGGTGAGAAAGCTTCATCCTCTTTTACATAACAGTGACTTTAATATTGGTAAGATCCATGCTATGGTGGATATAAAAAGTCTACACACCTCTGCTAAAACTGCAGGTTTTTGTGATGTAAAACATGCAACTAAGATATATCCTGTCTTGATTTAATGAATTATTATGTAGGCATTTATTTATAGAATGGATTTTGGGTGAGAAGACTATCTTTACATTTTGGCCAAAAAACAGATCTGCTCTCGAGCTCTCCATCTGTGGCCAGGAGCCAAGAGAGCACAATTGGCTGTGCTCTCTGAGTGGGAGGGATGTTATACTCTTTCTCCTGTCAATCACAGCATCAGTAGCACCAATCCTGGGCATCTGTGAGCTCATGTATGTGGAAGAGGGCAAATAGCACTTTCCTCTGAGTGTGTTACTCTGCCCTGTGTTGTAGCATGAGCAGCAGTTTGAAGTGATGCAGTTGACTGGTTTCACATATCCCAGAAGAAGCGTGTGTTTAAGGGAGAGCTGGCTGGTGGGTGGAAATTGGCAGGTGAACCTGACAATTTCAATTTCCATGGCAAATTGAAGAGAAAATGGCAGAAAAAACATATTTTGACTGACTGACTACATTTAGGATAATTGGGAAAATTTGGTTTTGAATTGTTGGAGTGGTTGGAGCAACATTACTTGAGCATGAAAGCTTCACAGGGTGAAAAGAGATTTCTTAAAGTACTTAGGATACGTTTAATGCTACCACTGAATTTGTCTAATATAAAATAAGAAAGCTGTCATCTAGGTCGGAACACAGAGTTATTTTGAAGTGTCCATGATTACAATATACTGTACGAGCAGTATTATGATTTATACACCAGTGGTGTTGAATTCTTGATTCTGATTGGTCAGAAGGTGTTGATTCATTTGCTATAGCAGCAGCTCTGACAGTAGTTCCAGTTGCAAGGAAAATCACAGGTATATATTATATGCTTGTATTATGTGTCGTAATAGGTTATAGTTTCTATAGTAAAGACTTGAAGGGTGGACGCCTGCCAATAAACAGATTAAAAATGTGTTGTTATTTAATTGTACAGCACATGCTTAATCTATAACCAGCATTCCTGGACCATTTGGAAATATGTCTTGAGTTATATTGACTGCTAGATATTCCTGCTCCATC